TAACGCGTTACTTAATAACGCGTTAGTCCCAACACTGGTCACCACACAGTAATAAAGCTGTTATATCACAAAAGTATATGTAGATACATTCACATTCTCCCGGGTAACCAGCATGTCCTACCTCACATCATGGAGGATGATCTTTTCGGGACCTATCTTGCGGCAGAACTTTGTTTCTTGAACACAGTAGAGAAGGTTGCTGAATGTGACAGTTGGACCCCGGTCCTGAAAGTAGTCATCAACAGGGATACTATTCTCCCCCTTAGTCATGTTCAAAGAATGGAGTTGCTAGCAGAAAGAGAGGAAAAGAGAGTCTGGAAGCTGGGTTCAAAGAGAGAAGCAGTCTGGCACAGAGACCTGTGCAGGCTGAAGGAGATACAGGTGAGTGAAAATGTAACCAAAAGATATCTCTTATTACCCATCGGAACTTTGGACTCTCTCAATCCTTATAGAGTTGTGGCTTACTGTGATAATGTGGCACTTAACACTCCCATTCAAAATCACAAGCACAGCAGTAATTCCACCCATGAGCACTACAATCTATGCAAGTAATTTGATGGCAGCTGGTGATATGCGTGTAGTATAATGTTGATTACCCCTATGAAAGTATTGCAGATGTCAGCCATTCTACCATACCTATACGTTAATACCTGTTTATTTATACAGGTAATTTATACACAGTACGATTATTCATATTCATGAAGGCGACAGCAGTATTAACGCCAGCAAGCACAAATTCTGTCATGGTCCTGGGTCGGTGACCCAGGACTTTGAGTTTATTATTATTATTTTCTAGTTTATTCTGATTTTGTATTAGTTCTTTGGGTTTGGTTGTCGTGTTTATTATCCCTACCTGTGTCTCCCTCTGTGCTCTGTTGGGTCCGAGTTTTGTGTTGTAAAACAGTCTGTGTGTTTCCTGTTTTACTTTGTAGGTCTGTGTCTCGTTATGCCCATTAGTTCCAGCTGTGTCCCCTCCTGTGTGCCATTTCCTGATTACCTGGTGTGTGTATTTATAGTATGTATCTGCCTGTGCTCCTCATCGCGTCGTCTGTGTTTCTCTGTGAATCTTCTGCATTTCTCTGCATCATTTTGGTATATCTCCGTGTCTCTCTGTTCCTCGCCTCGTGTCCTCTGTTTGTGTTAGTTTTCCCAGTTTAGGTTTATGTTCAGTTCTGCCCTCACCTTGGGTTTTTTCACTGTAAATAAATCTCCACCTGCATCTCCACTGCCATCTGCATCTTGGGTCCTCATTCATTCCACCACATGACTGCTGCCCCAGCCGTGACAAATTCACACTTAGGGGAATCTTGTTTTGTCTTCTAGGCAAAATGAGTTATATTAAGATGAAGCAGTAAATGCCCTTTGCAATAAAAATTAAGCCACAAAGTTGAATGCACATTGAGAAGGTGCTTAAGCCACAGATTTTGAAAGAAGAAATAGCTTACTGTTACTCTTACAAATAAACATTCACATTAAAAAGCAGCCATTTGCTTCAGGGATTTAATGCTATACTCTGATATGACTTGTTGCTTATTGTGGCTAATGTAACAAATAATGCAGCATTAGGAAAAGTACTGTTTTCTGACTTCACACTTTGTGAACTACTGTTTGAGAAAGTTTGAGTATTTAGGAGTATTTGTGTACCATGATTGTTACTTGGTCTCAGTGACTACTGTTCAGTCTACTGATCTTGAATTTAAAACGAAAACAAAGAAAAAGTATGAGCACAAACAGGGTGTCCTTAAACCTTTGACCACACTGATTACATGTACGACATTTCCATGGTCGGGCTGCCCCCTAACGCACGGAATCCACTGTAACAGGCTATAGAAAATCTTCTGGATGGGATCAACGTTGTTTTTCTCCGACTATTTGTCTTTTTGTCACCGTCCAATCAGGCTTCGTGTTAAGCATCAAGTACCGCCTAGAAAATTGTTTCTACCAATCTATTTTCATCACAGTGAGATAATGGGAGGGGCAAGCTCCAGAAATTCCGAGGTGTTGTCATTGCGTTCCTCAGATTTGTGTGTTTAGCACTGGGTGTACGGGTGGGGTGTTAAATATTCACAATGTGGCTCTAACAGCAGTTCTGGGTTTTATTTTGTGTACTTTGACGTATTGTTCCGGTATAGCACAGAAAAGTATAGCACAGCCGGGAAATTAAAGATCCTGTATTTTACACGAAGGTTAGCTTATAAGCTATTAGCTAACGCCTAACGTTAGCTATGGAGGAGAGGAAAGAGGAGGGAGAAGCGGAGATCCAAGAGCACGGCCCCGAGCACTGGTTCTCGAAATGGGAACGGCAGTGCTTAGCTGAGGCGGAACAGGATGCGCCAAATGAAGAGGAGTCCGAGCAAAGCCAGCAAAAGCTGTGGCACCTCTTTCAGAACTCAGCCACGGCGGTAGCACAGCTCTACAAAGGTATGTACAGAAGATGCCGGAATTCAAGCTAAGCTAGCCGCCTGAGCTAACATTATCGCTGGGCGGAGAGACACAAAGGGCACTATTCAAACTCATACTGCTCACTATTCGCAGCTTTTTCCCTAAAGTACAACCGGCGTTGTTTGTCACCGTTGTAGTTTTCAGTTGGACTGGGGGGTGTATTCTTTCAAACAGAGTTTAAAATCGAGTCTTCGTCGCTTCTCGTCTTGATTATCGTGACCCTGTTCCTTTTGCTAGCTAACTATACCACATGCTAACGCTAGCAGCCGCTAGCAGCCGCTAACAGCCGGTCACCGTGTCAGAGCGTTGGACAACAAGGCTGAATGTAGCTTACGGTGGCCTTAGCTGTCAGAGGTCTCACTGGTTTTAGGGATTGAAAAAAAAGACACGCTAAAATGTCCCCGAAATACCGGGTTAACTTGCCGGTGCGGGCGTCACAGGTTTATTACAGTTGTTCGTCTGTTATGTACACGACATGGCTTACACAAAAAGTGTTTTGTCTGCCGGTTATCAGTTATACAGCTAGTCAAAATGGCGAAACACAGGGAGGAGATGGTAGACTGAAAACAAGACATTTGTTGACGCTTAGTCGTAAATTATTATAGCGGTGTTGTGGACGTCCAGAAGTTAACGACACAAAATACGTTTTATACCAAGACGCAGTTCAGTTTCCTCTTTCTGGGTGCAATGATTTTCATTACCAGAACAAAATGGCGAAAGGATTACCATAAATGTTGTTCTTGTTGAAAATTTGTCCTGCCCAGATATGTTTTTTTTTTTTTTTTTTTTTTTTTTTTTTTTGTTGCTCTGACAGCCTCTCATCAGGACCAGAAACTCACTGTAAATTGTGATCCCTTAGTTGTTCAGATTTGTCCTGCAGTGTTTTTTGTGTGTTAAATGTTTTAGTTGCCTTGATCACCAGTTTATGGGATTTATTTGATGTCCTATCCTCAATATTTATGGAGCTCTATTTCACCAGTACAATTACGATGTTTGTCCACCACAGTCTAGAAATCCTGCTTGGTCAGGTACTTCTGTTTACAAGACCCTCCTCACCGTGTGTCCTAAAATCAGGAACACACCTGTACATGAATACACTTATGAGCAGCCAGTGCAGAAAAATGTAAGAGTTTCTAGTCAGGAAAACTGCATTTATTTTTTGGGCCATGAAAATACTGTCATTGCTTTTTTTCTTTAAAAAAACAAAACAAAACTGGAGGTAAACATCGCACAAGTTGTTGATATTCACATAATTTTACTTAAGCATCCTAAGCATTTGCATAATTTTGAGAGTTTTAGTTTTAGTCTTGAGACTTATTGTGGTGGAAACTGAATTTGAAAATGCTCAAACAGTATTTCTCAAATCTGAGGTCAATCAGCCAGTCTGCTGACTCAGTCTTTAGGGTGTCTTCCATTGTAGCCAGGAAGTTATTAATGGATATGTGGATCATGACTTCCTGTTGTGTGCGTCAGTCAGTGTTTGCAAAGACACATACATGTTAAAAGGTGACAAAAAGTCCATGGTTTCTTGGAGATTAAATGGTATCTATTCTGTAGCTCCATGGCACCACAGCCCTGCCGAACTAAAAGTAAAATCATTTTAGAAGCAACTCGGTGGTCATCTTGTAGCAGATCAGTCCCCATCTGTACAAGTAGGAAGAAAACCATAGCCTCAATTTCAGTCGTCAGTGGAACATTAGTTAAGACAATAAAAACCGTTACAAAAGTTTATCATCTTCACCTTAAATAGGGTATAAAAGCGTCACATTGTAGAAATGGAGTAAAGTATACTTTAGTCATTGTAGCACAGATGCAGAAAAGTTCCAGTTACACAGTTAAAGCAGTTATGAACCTTAATGTGCACAGGTGTCAGAACTGCATTATTAAGCAATCTTTTTCTTGTTTTGGCTGTTTGACAATGGGACAGCAGCCATCTGTCGCATCTCCCATTGATTTCTGGGAGTGCAGATTTTCCTCCTCTTTTGAACTTCAGTGCATTAACTCATTGCCATCCATTCTCCTTTAGGATTTTCTGGTAGAGAGCCAAATTCATCGTTCCATCAGTTACAGCAAAATTGGCCTCAAGCAGCAAAGCAGCCCCAGAACACCACAGTACCACAACCATGTTTTACTGTTGCAGCGCTCTTCTTTTTATGACATTCTGTGCTGGTTTCAGCTATTGTCTCATCAGTCTACAGAACATTTTCTCAGAAGTCTTGGGGATCATGAAGATGTTTTTTGGTAAATGTGACACAAGGTGTTGGTTTTCCCCTCGACTCTCCCATGGGTACCAATTTGGCCCAGTCTCTTTCTTATTGTTAAATCACGAACTCTGGCCTGAACTAAACCAAATTAGGCCAAATTGTTTAGATGATGATCTTGGTAGTTTTGTGACCTCCTGGATGAGTCTGTGTACGTTCCTGGAGTAATATTGGTAGGCCGGCCACTCCTGGCGAGGTTCACCACTGTGTTTTCTCCATTTGTGTATAATGATCTCACTGTGATTCGCCTTTAGAAGTGCTTTTGAAACCATTTTTAGGCTGATAGAAACATAGGCTACGTCCACACGTACCCGGGTATTTTTTGAAAACGCAGATTTTTCTATGCGTTTGCACCTTTCGT